GGCCTGATGAGAATTTATTGAAAGTATACGTATGCTCGCCAATTACTCTTTGAGTTTTAAGGATATCAAATTTAGTGAATACGACTGTCATTGCCCACATTTGGTAAGGTAACCGAACTTTTTTCCTAAGAGACTGCGTATTCAAGCCCAAAAGATCGCATTTTTTTCTGACAGTGCATCACCCGCCTTTTCCCTTTCGGTGAGAGTCATCAGCGCAGAGCAATTCCAGTCAGAATCCCCTTCCGAGACAACTGTCTTCTATTTCCACCGAGGTTGGATCGTGGGGTTGAAGGGTCTTGTTGCCTTTCTCGCCATTTTCGAAAGCGGGAGTCATACCAAGTCAATCGCAAGAAAAAAACTCACGACGAAAGTTTTCAAGATTGTTAGTCCACAAAACACTTTGGCGCCCTTTGCTGCCTATTAGATGGCCTCGTCTGTGCAATCTTCCACAATTTTGTTTTTCAGAAGTGATTCATTTTTCCGTTATCAGCCAATCATACTTTTAACGCCAACAAGTAGCAATTTGTTCTTAAACAGAAATCTCCTCGAAGTTTGCCTCACCAAAATAGTAATAAGTATCGGAACTTGCAGTTTTGAAGACATCAACCTTGCTGAAAACGATTGTCACTCTGCATATTTCCGGAACTGGCTTCAAGCCCACCTTTGCTGTAGCTTTCAAAAACATTTTTTTCCTGTGATACTGTTTATTTAAACCGAAAAGACCACCATTTTTTGCTAGAGCATCACCCGCCTTTTCCTCTCCGGCAAGAGTCATCGGCAGAGAACCATCCGAGTCAGAATCCTCGTGCAAGAAAACTGTCTTCCATTTCCGCCAGTGCCGAATACTGGGGTGGCAGGCCCTTTTGGGCTTTCTCTCCATTTCACGGCAGCGGGAGTCATACCAAGTCAATCGCGAGGAAAAAAACTCACGGCGAAACCTTTCAGAATAGTTGGCCCAAAAACCATTTCAACACCCTTTGCTGCTTATTAGGTGGTTTCGACTATACAATGCTGCACAAACTGTTTCAGGAGTGACTCATTTTTGCGATCATCAGCCAATCATACTTTCAACGCCGACAGGTAGCAATTTGGACTAAGGAAGGAATGTCCTCGACCTTTGCCTCACCAGAAAAGCCTCTCTTCGTAATTTTAGCGGAAGAAGGAGTCATCCCAAGTCATTCGCGAGAAAAACTTACGGCAAAACCTTTCAAAGTACTTAGCCTGCCTTTACTCCACAAAACATTTCTGCATCCTTTACTGCCTATTAAGTGGCTATGAGTGTGCATTTCTCCACACCCTTTTCCGGGAGTGACTCATTTTTTGCAAACGTCAAGCAATAATACTTTTAACGCCGTCAGTGAGCGTCAGAAATTTCAATTTGGAATAAAGGCAGCTGCTAGTGCTCTCTGAGTAGGCCTCTGATGACGAATCCGCGACGGATCTCGAAACCTCAGGCGAATAAAAGTATTGTCCCAGCGATTGAGTCGTCTTTGTCTCTAAGACAACTTTTGCAACAAATACTATAATAGTTTTGCTATGAAAATCTGCTGATTGCAACAGCGCATATTCAAAGGAGTCTTGTTCAATGTACGGGCACGACTAACTGCAATTCCCGATTTCGCAGGATACAGCAGTGAGAACGTACTAACACCACTTACGGGAAATGGGCGAGAAGAGTAATTTAGCAACTTTGATGGATAAAATATCCGGGCAGTAGAAGATGCGGTGGCTGTGACAGGAGGTTTATTTGCCTGACATTTCGAAAACCCTGCCGAGAACCCTTCATCAGGGCACCCGTAAAATAGGGTGATATATGCACAGATTAGGGTTTAGGAGACCATAAAAGCGGGTCATGGCCGTTTCTTGCGCTCTGGACATGCGTTGGTCGACTAGCGAGGTTGCATATGGGTTCTCTATTGCCAACAGCGTTGCGTTGATGTCGTGTGCCAGGGTTTTGACTCTCGTGGGAAGTAGAACTGACGATCCTCCAACAAAATTTGAGCTTCCTGAATCATAGGTCTGTCGAGCGCAATATGACAGAGGAGCGCTCCTTGTCCGCAGGCACGATAACGAGGTCATTGTCGGCTCTGAGCTCCTTAAGTGCCTTACGTTCGACCTTGGAACATCCGTTAGATAGAAAATCCGTTTTTATGGTAGCCCTTGGTGAAAACAATGGGCTTGTAGTGAAGTGGACAATTTCCCATGTGCAAATGTGTCATTATGCCATCACGCCGTGTCGTCCTGATGTTCACGTAGCCTATTCAGCTTTAAGTATTCAGGAATAAAATATGTTATAATAGCTTTAGTTGTACT